GTCAGAGAAAGGACAAGGAACAAGGCCCAAAGGATTTTTCATATTTTGTCTACGTTTTGTTTGGTTATATCTATCTTATCATCTTCTTGTTTCATTATAACATGCATCATTGCTAGACTTTGGAAGGGGAGGGGCTAAGGAGCGGAGTACTATGAATATATATTATGATTCATTTGATTTCACTGGTGTAGTGCAGTAATTGCTAGTAGCACACAATATATAAACTCGATTACATATATTAATTCTTACCCACATACCACCCATCATAGTGGTCCAGGAGGGTGCGTGAAGAAGACAATCCAAAGACATTGACAATTTCATGGAGTTGGTACTAACCTAGTACGGATCTATATAGTTACCGAGATACTAGTAACAACTATATACAACAACAACACAAACCACCACCTCATGGTTCCCACAACAATCATCCTAGTACCCAACCAAGCACATATAAACATACCATAGTACCATCTATATAGTATCTACCCATTACCACCTACTTACCACACCCTCACCAAATCAAAACAAAAACTAAATTACAACAACTCCCCCTCCCCACAAGCCCCCGAATGCAAAACCCTATGCCCAGGAATCTCCTTCAACGCGATCTCCAACGCAACGGTACTCTCCTCCGTCGGATAAGTAGTATAATGTCCCAAAGCACTGACTTCCGCGGTATCCAGGGCTAAAATCGCCCCGTTCTTACCCCCGACTATCCACGCATCGTCTGTTGAGTTCGGGAGAGTGATGTGCGCCACGCCGGAGAGGAAGATGACCCATCTTATTTTTTTTATTTATTAGTTAGCATACATATATTCTTCGATGTAATTATGAAGATTGGGGGGAAAAGAAATGAAAATGTGATAGTTGGACACAATGTTAAGGGTCTCGTACTGGTTCGTGGGCGCATTATGGCGGCCGCCGTCATATTCACCGGGGATGAGGAGGTTAGTTGCGTTATTGGTGACGGAGCCGAGATTGAGCATGGCGGTGCCGGAGACACCGGCTTGGGCGGAGGTGGAGTAGCCTGGGTCGAGGGCCCAGCATTCGAGGACGGATTGGTTGTTGTGTGCGGTGAGGGTGGTGATGTTTAGGGTGCTGGGGAAGGTGGTGGTGGTTGATGCTGCGAGGGCGGTGGTGGTGGATGCAGCAGCAGCAGCAGCCAGGAAGGTGGTTAGGAGGGTGTGCAGGAGAGGCATGGTGGATGATGTTTTTATGGTTTATGGTTTATTGGATGGGATATAGTTGTTGATGGGGTAATTAATTGGTTTTATATGCAGGAGTACTGGGTGAAATAGTCATTTTAGGAGGGAGAAATGGTTGGTATGCTGGGAAGGGAGCAGAGCGCATTATTTATTGCTCAATATTTATCTGCAGCCCAGGTCAACTCTTCGAATGTGGAAACTTCTTCAGCATCGAGCACGATCTGGCGATCGAAGCTTGAGTCAACTGAGAGGCGCTATTAGATGCACGAACCCCAAATCAAGAATGATCTGCGCACCGGTCCAGTTTTCTAGATTCACTCGACCAGCGACGGTCTATTGCCGCAATCTAACAATGCAACTAAGTATGTAGGTACACCTGCCCCCCTCGGGTAATAGTGATAGCCAAACCCTTTTCTTATCAATAATCATAATGATATGTGCGAGCCTGCAATGTTCATTAACGGATGATTTCGTCCCCGAGAATCTCCAGTCCTTCGAGCCCCTCGAGAATACCACTGCCTCCGAGAGGTCCGGCCACAACTGCCGCGCCTCGCTTGGGACCGCTCCATACTTCATGAAATTTGACACTTTGGTCGCTGGAAGCCACGATGATACAGCCTTCTTGCACCGTGCGCGAACACCAGAGACCCCCCTCTTTGGCGCGAGGTCGTACAACTTCCCGGACCGTGCTCCGTCGGCTGGGCTCGCTCCGACTTGGTCCAGCTAGCCGGTCGTGCATCACCATCGATGTAGAGGAACGGCTTTCCTGATCCGGTCTGTGGTCTTCGCAGTCGCGAGGACGGCCGGGATAACTCACAGCGCAGAGTGCACGCCCACAATCAATCATGTCGCTTTCAGGGCTATCCCAACTACTTCCATGCGGCCCCCAAGGTATCGCAGCGATCTGCTCACAGCTCGGCCAGGCGAACACTGCGATGCGGAACGGATGTTCGGGCTGTGCGAATCCGAATGTAGCAACAATTTCCCGTCGGGTACGACTCCAAATCAAGCTGGTCACCTGGGCATACACGTTGATCGTGGCCAGACAGGCGCCCGTCGGGGCATGGTAGAAATGAATGGCGCGGTCGTTTGACCCGCCCCCAGTAGCCAAAAGAGACGGTTGCCAAGGGGCAAACGCGATAGCCTTGACTGCGGCGCCATGCACCAGCCGATGTCTTTGGCGGTTAGACGGCACCAGGACGGTTCGATCACCGCCGGAGATCAACGACCCAGTATGATTGAGGAGAGAAGTATACAGTGGTTTTGCGCTGGAAAAGGCCCAGGGCGGAAGGAGGTGACTAATAAGACTGCGCCGCCGAAAAAGCCGTTTGCTTGCACTGGCAGCAAAGCAAGTAAACGTGCCTGTACATTCCGTGCCTTCTGACTGACGCGACTGATGTGGTGTGCGACCCTGAGACGAAGGCTTGTGCTCCCGTGGAGGAAGAATATCATGGAGGTCGAAGAGCAAGCAGCAGTTGTCATTCCCTCCCGTTGCAAGATATGAGCCTTCCGGGGACCAAGTGATGCCGCAGATCTGCTGCGTGTGCGCCGAAATCTTAGCAATTAGAGTCATGGATCCATTGAAGTCGTATTCATCCCATTCTTCATTATCAGGCCATTCTACGGAGTAGTACCAGATGTTCCCAAGATCATCACCTACAGCGAGTTCCTCAACATCGACTTCAAGGTGACGGAGTCTCTCGGATAATCTCCGGGACTTTGTTGGCCGAAATGCCAGACAAGTTATAGAATCAGGATGGCTTATCTCGAAACGGACATCAGAATCGAATGTACTCCAAAGAGATAACATACCCGACTGTCTCCCCACGGCTAAAATGCTTTTCCCACCGTTCTCAGAGGAGAACGCAAGTGATGTCACATAGTTTGAGGGGTGTTGATCACTGAGTGGCGGATGCTGCACACCCAGATGCTCAGACCATAGGTAAACTCGATGACCGAGGCCGACAGCAAGTATGCCGGACGTGGATGAGTATGCCAATGTCGAACAATAAAAATCGTCTCGGAGGAGAGGAGCATCCAGGATGCGAAAAGGGCGGTTCGGGACCACCCTTTCACCCTCTTTTGCAACAGTCCCTATGAGTTAGGTCCGAACGTTAGTTGACGTATACTGCTAGCCAATATCACGATAAAGACATTAAAGGGGAGTGCTGCTAGACGGCGGCCTTACTGAATAAACGATGGATTATGTGGCAAAGACATGCTATCATAGATTTTCTGGGTTGAAGGCAAAGAACCTCTCACATGCATATCAAAGAAACGGATGATCACAGTTGCCACAGTAATGTTTTATAACCAAAAGCAGTCACTTACACTGGTACTTCTCTGCCCGCCTCCAGGCATTATCTTTCCAAACAAATGGAGAATATTTTTCAAAGTCTGGCGATGACGGGCTAGGTAAGGACTCAAGCAAAGGCCAAGGCTTGCAGTTCTTCAGGAGTCTCCTTGCTGGATCAATATCCAAGGCAAGAGCCACTCTGCACTTATGTTTCTCACGCTCCTCTGTCGACGCGACATGGGGCAGGAATCTGGCAGCAAACTTCGGGGCAGTCGTTCCACTGGCAATCTGCCCACCCGAGCCATTAGGAGTCGCCATAGATCGTCGACCTAGTGCAGCTGATGTTCCTCCCACGTTCCAGACAGCCCCATTGCTGACTTGTCTAGAAAAGTCCCTAGAACCACGGGTGAAGTCATTACTCGGAACGGCCGGGTCAATGACGAGATGAGGGCCATAGTGAGTACTGCAAATACGGTCAGACGGTATCCTTGGTGTGCTGATAGGTCTTCCAGAGCGAGTTGGCAGGAAAGGGTCCTCTTTTGGTAAACGCTGTCGTAGAAGCCTCTCCTCCGGAGAAAGTTCTCGGGCGCTCTTCCCTACCCGGAAGGGTGTTGATGGAGTAATGCTATTCTCTCTTCTGGGAATGAACCTATCTGGCAGCGTGGGACCTTTCCGGTCAATTTCAAGCGTGTCAAGAGCGATAGGCTTCCTGATTTTATTGTGGCCTTTCCCGACTGGCCCTGGAGACCTGAGGCTGCGGTGTTTCTTTGTCGAAGTGTGAGTAACACCACTGCGAGATTCAACACTTCTAGCTACTCTGCGCAGAGACTGGGAGCGTTCCTCAATAGAATTGCTCTTGCCCTTTGACTTTCTTGTTAAAGGAGTGTTTAAGTTAAGTTTAGAATGAGTGATAGGCGCTAGTTGCGGTGGAGTGTGAGCATTAAGATAAGTGGATGTCACAGAGTTGCGTTTCCGGGCCGTTGAATCAAAGGGTCGCGGCTCTGGGAAAACATCCTTCTCATCTGCTAAGATAGAGCTACCCCTTGAGTGGATTGTAGAATGATTCATTGCCCTACTGGATCCCGGATCCAGTTACAACTCGGTATCTCGATGCTTAAAGGCGTTATGTGTATGTCAAAATAAAAGTTGGGTGTGTTGTGGAAAGAATGAACGAATGAAGAGACCTTATCGACAGACTGCCATGCTGTACAAATATAGCTATAGCCGATGGCATGGCAGATAAATCCCTAAAAACAAGATACTAAAGAGTTGTGTGATGGACAACTTCGTGAAGACCGGTCAATGTATACAGGGCACGTGACTGGAACTGGATCGGGAAGGTGGCTGTGGCATCGCCCATTCAGGCAACCGCATCGACTCCAAGTATTCTTATCGATAAAGTGCGGCCTCCTCTCCTGACTCTGCCAGTTCCGCCCACTATACATTGTCCACTGTCCACCTCATTACGCGCGCATAATTAGAGAGAAGCATCCTTCGGCATGGCAGCCGTAATGACACCTTTCCCTAAGGCACCACACACCGTTCGCTAACCGCCGGGCAGCATGGTATTCCCCGCTACTCGCTCCAAGGCGAGCAGACCGAAGAAGGTCGGCAGAAAGAGCTTCAGAAAATCGAGAAATACCGCCAACTTGATCAGTCGGTCCGCGAAAAGGTAGACCATATGCAAGAAGCAAGCTATCACCAGCGCTAGCTGATAGAGATTGAATAGATCGCGGAACAACAATATACGCCAGGGACTCTAGAGAAAATAGCCGAACTACTGACCAGCAACCCGGAGTACTATACCGTTTGGAACTATCGGCGCCAGGTGTTGCGCAATGAATTTTCACGAGCAGCTTCAGCAGACTCAAACGAAGCAACTGCTGAGCAGATTGCGACACTAATCAAGAATGACCTACTATTCACGGTCCCCCTCCTACGTAGCTTTCCCAAATGCTACTGGATATGGAACTACCGTACTTGGCTGTTGGATGAAGCCAAGCGTCTGCTTCCAGTACCTGCTGCGCAAAAATTCTGGCAGGAGGAACTGGGGCTGGTAGGGAAGATGCTTACCCTCGACAGCAGAAATTTCCACGGTTGGGGTTACAGACGCTTTGTCGTAGAGACGCTGCGAGAGCTCAAATCGGAGGAGCAGGAAGGGCAACAGATGACGCAGACAGAGTACGAATATGCAAAGAAGATGATTGGGGCTAACCTCTCAAACTTCTCGGCCTGGCATTATCGTACGAAACTCATCCAGCGCATGTTGAATGAGAAATCCGCTAGCGACGCGGAGCGAAAAGCGATGCTTGACAATGGTACGTCATCCCCTTTGTCATTTGCGTGGCCTGGAGACAGCGTACAAGTATGTGTGTTGACATATCATACTGGAAGAATTGGACTTGATCCATCGTGCCTTGTGTGACCCGTATGACCAGTCATTATGGTTCTATCATCAGAACCTAATGTGCGTCTTTGATCCATCTGTGGCGGATCAGACGCTGGCACCGCACTTGAGTGATGGTGAACGCCTTGATTATCTCCGACAGGAAATCGACGAGATCCAAGATATGTTGGATGGGGCTGAAGATTGCAAGTATATTTACCAAGCATTGATTGATTGTACGATGTTGGCGTGGAAGGTGGAGGGAAGAGCGCCCAGTGGAGAGGAGAAAAAGAAGGTGCAGGATTGGCTGTCGGAATTGAAGAAGCTGGACCCGCTGCGACTCCAACGGTGGCTGGATTTTGAACACTCCCTCAGCCGCTGAGCCGGTCATGGTCAGCTCATCCCTTGCCGATGCGATATGTATAGTAATCTATAGACGCCATCTGCGGGGGGAATAATTTTTTTGCTTTGTTGACAAAAGATTTTCCGATCTTCAACTTACTTTTCCTTGCTTTTTTTTTTTTTTTCTCCCCCTCTTATGCAATGATGGGAGGGGGCGGACCTGGGACAGGAAGAAAGATGATGGGCAGCAGCTGCAGCACTTGCTCCATAGTGGGACCAACCACCGCGATGGATTTTTGTTGGTGAGTTTCAGAATAACAAGTGTCCACGGGAATGCTCAATGCTGGTCTCCCTCGGGCGGGAGAATGGGCACTTAATGCAGCCCCGGAATCATTTTAGTGGTTCACCTGGCAGGAACCCGCGCATCGCCGGTTGATAAATCCCGACCACAAAATTGATGCGAGTACAGACGTACAGTAAGTAGTGTAGTCTAAGTAACCTGTCGAACCGCCAGCCATCCCGTCTTTATTCTCTTCCAACCGAGCATGGCTGTGAAGGTGTTTTCTATGCATAAGGAACAGCCTCTCTCCTACTCTCCTCTCTCTCTCTCTCTCTCTCTCTCCTTTCCCCCCTTCCCCCCCAGCACTAGCTCCAACACTGCTGGCTTGATACGTCCTTATTGCCGGCTGGCTAAGGGACTAAAGTCGTAGTGTAGGCAGACTAGTGGGTGACTTAAAGAAGCGCCTGCCAGTGGATGTTTATTTAGTATATTTAGTAGTGACAGTAAGTAGTTTAGTTTAAGGGGGAAGGCAGCATCCGAATCACGGGGTTTAGAGAGTCTCGCCAAGCCCCATCTTTCTTTTGCCAGGGGATCTCCCGTTTTGACTACTACTTTCTACTTGACTTACTTTCATTCTTCCTCAGCAACGGTGATTTGACATCGTTCTCTACCTGACCTTTTTGTTCTGCTGCCGACGGGAGAAGAACGAAGGAGGGAATCTCCATAAATCCACTCTCCATCCCTCCTGGCTCCATTGCGGACATCTTTCCCCCTGCCAGTCCCGTGGTACAAAGTCCGGAATTCCACCCGCTGGCTCTGGGTCCATTCCATCCCATTATCCCATCTTATCCAACCTCTCCCCCTTCCCTCTCAATTTACAATTCGGCTACAGCCTGTGGCTCCCGCCCGACACACCCGGTTTTCTTCGTCATCCTCGGTCCCTATCATGGAATAATCGCTGTTTGGACTTCATCAAACACATCGAATTTCGTCTCGGTCGCCTCTCTCTTGTTGATCGAAATTGGATTGAAGAAACCAGCTGGTTTCACATAGTGGACACCCTCCCAGGTGGTCGGGTCCCAATATGTCTTCTAGGAACAGCGCAGAGTACGAAGGTGTAAGCTTCTCTCACCAAAACCTGGCGATCACGAAGAAAGACTCATAATCTTATTCGCACCAGGATTCCTTTGACGATGCGCCCGAAGCCCCGAACACCCACGGCAGTCTGAACGTTTCCATTCCCCAAAGCTCTTCCACACGGTCTTTGACAGACAGCCCCCCGAGCGGATCGAATGTTGCCACGCCTCAATTGACGGAAGCTCCCCCGCTACCGGCGACTTCTCACGAAGAGCACGAATCGGCCGAGGAGACAGATGATGCTGGCGTGGAGAAACAATCAGAAGCGGAGGATACCCCTCGCAAACAGAAACTACAGAAATCTCCACTCTTGACTGCGCACAGGCTATCAACAACGTCTCTCGACGACGTGAACCTTGCCAGTAGCAACAAGGACGATGAATCGACTGAAAACCAGCCGTTGAGCCAGGAGCTCAACTCCGGTACCCCTCCCCCATTATCCTCTAGAGATTCCACGTCGTCCCACAGTTCGCGCCTCCAGGGATCATCCAACGCTTCTACCGCAAAGAACCAAGCCCCTGTTGCACCGCCCCCTCCGCCAACTCGATCGTTTACCAGCCCCTTTGCATGGCTGTCTCGAAGCTCGTCGGGCGGAAAGGACGCCAAGTCGCCTCCGGCACAACCACGTCGGAATACGGCCGCATCCATATCGACTATTGCAAGCAATCCGGAAATGGGTCGTCACCACGATGGGGAGGATGTTGATGGTCTAGGCCATAGAAAGCCGAGGCGCAGCAGCCTCAAGGACCAGTTCAAACAGCTCAGGTTGCGAGAGGAAGGACTCGCGTCGGAGAATGACGAGGCTAGCGTTGCGTCGGGACGTGCAAGTTTCACGGCCGGAAGTCCTCCACCCAGCATACCGGAAGAAGGGGAGAATGGCATTGCGGCCGCCCCCCGGGCGACGTCGCCGCCTAATGGAGCGTCAACCGTCAACCCTAAGCTTGCCCCGGGAACTGTTGCGGGTATTTCAACCTCTGCAACTGACGCGTCTGCGCCTGTAGACTGGGAGCTCTGGCAGCAACTAGTCAACAATGGTGCGCAAGCGTTGAAGGGGGCAAACTCGGATGAACTGAATGCCGCTATCAAACGAGGCATTCCCCAAACTATTCGTGGAGTGATCTGGCAGGTTCTGGCCGACAGCAGAAACCCCGAGCTTGAGGAAGTATACCGGGAGCTCATTGCCCGTGGCACGGACAAGGAGAAGCAGGGCAGCCCCAATGGTACCATTAACGGAGAGAAGGACTCAACGGCCTCTTCATCTCGCTCATCTGTTCGATCGGAGCGTTCTGCCTCGGTGGCCCACTCGGTCAATGGTTCGAGTCCTTCCCAGGAGTTGGATCCCGAGAAGCTGTCCAAAGAGCAGGCCGCAAACGAAACAGCTCGGAAAAAGAAGGCCAAAGAGGAATCAGCCGCACTTTTGAAGCTAGAGAAGACTATTCGTCGTGACCTCGGTGCTCGCACGAGCTATTCACGCTACTTCGTGTCGCAAGGAAACCAGGAGGGGCTGTTTGGGCTCTGTAAGGCATACGCTTTGTATGATGAGGCCGTGGGATATGCTCAGGGGATGAACTTTATTGTGATGCCATTGCTATTCAATGTGAGCAGCTTTACCTATCTACTACAACATCAAGAACATGATTGCTGATGCTAAACTTATTTAGATGGACGAGGCTGAAGCATTCACGCTCCTCGTGAAGCTTATGAATCAGTACGGACTGCGGGAGCTGTTCATCCATGACATGCCAGGCCTCCATCGCAGCCTATATCTGTTCGAACGCCTGCTGGAGGACGTGGAGCCGGCTCTCTATTGTCACCTCCGGCGGCGGGGCGTACCCCCTCAGTTGTATGCCACTCAGTGGTTCTTGACACTTTTCGCCTACCGATTCCCTCTTCAGCTGGTTCTTCGCGTCTACGATCTCATCTTCGAAGAAGGCCTTGAGAATACCATCTTGAAGTTTGCCCTGGCGATCATGCGCAGGAATGCAGACACGCTGTTGGGCATGAGGGACATGGCACCGTTAACAACCTTTTTGAAGGAGCGCCTCTTTGACGTTTACATTGATAAGCAGCCCTCGGCGTCATCTCTCTTGGAGTCTGGTTTCTTCGGAAGCTCTGGGGCCGCGGACAAGGAAGTCTACCGCGCCGACATCATGGTCCAGGACGCTTGCGCCATCCCTCTGGAACCTGAGACGATCCGCGCGTACACGGCGGAATGGGAGGAGATGGTACGGACTGAGAAGGAGCGTGAGCAGGAGCTAGACAACCTTCGGCACACCGTTGCCACTCAGAGTGCTCGGATCCGACTACTGGAGGAGCAGGCCGAAGCATCAGACAAGGAGCACGTGCAGCTTGCATCCGAGCTGGTGCACCTGAAGGTGGAAAACGAAGAACTAACGGACATGAACGATGCCATGAAGATGCAGGTGACCGAGTTGAAGAACGTCGTGGATAAACAACCGGCCGAAGTCGAGGAGAAGCTGCGGACTGAGATGGACCGCATCATGAAGCGCAACATGGAAGTCCAGAACGAGAATCGGTCGATGGTCGAACAGATGGCCGAGATGGAGAAGGAGCTAGTCGAGGCTAAGATGAAATGGGCTGAGGTAAGTCCATCAATATGCGATTCAGTGAACGACGTCTGACCAAATTGCACCAGATTCATGATGAACACGAGAACCTGAAACAGAAATGGAGCGATCTTCGCAAGGCTCTCAACTGAGCCGCGGGATGTAGATATATTCTAACCTGAGTTTAGCGGGTGTTGCCTGGCTTCGCTGCTTTGCTTTTCTTCGTCCAGTTTCCAACCATGATTAACTACATCTCTGTTACTCTTTGTACATTTAAGCGGTTGGCACGCGTGGGAGAAAGCCTTGTTGGGTAATTATGTTGATGTTCACGTTCAAGGCAACCACGGGCGAAGAATTATCTTTGTTAATTGTATCAATGTTGTTCTCTCTTATGTTATCAGCAGCAGCGGCAGCAACAACATGGCTAGCACTCACTTCATGACACATACCGAACTGTCTCTTCTCCCTCTCACCACTGTGACATGATGACATTATTGTTTTATGTGCCGAACAGAACTAAATGTGAAGTAGTACCATGAACCAATACATGTATACCATGAATCAAACCAGCAGTACCCTATCTTCATCTATACATAAAAAACATAACATTATAATCATATAAACATGGAAGAGAGATAAATTAAAATATCTACAAAACACTCTCAAAAAACGTCGTCAACTTATCCGTCCGAACAGGTCCCACCACCGCCTTCAACGCCTTATGCGCCTCACACTGCTCATCATAGTAAATCATATCCTCCAGGGACGCGAACGTCGTCTTCACAGACAGATTCCAGCCCTGGTTGCGCTCATCGGGGATGGAGGCTCCCGCGGCCGAGCTGAGGATGTAGGGTTTTCCGTCCTGTAGATAGTATACCATAAGTCACTGTTTGCATATATACATACATGCATAGAAACTATGAAAGGTAAAAGAACTTAAGAGTAAAAAGAAAAAAAAAAAAGGAAAGGAAAGAAGGGAATATACCTTAACAGCGGTCTTAGCCAAAACCTTATACTGCTCTAAGACGCGATCGCGGTCCGCGTCATTGGGGATCTTGAAGAGGGTGATGCGTTCGATAGGGGCCATTTTGCGGGTGAAGGTGGTGAAGGTTCTTCGGAGGAACACTGAGAAAATTAATTATATCAGTGTCTATGATAATGTGTGTATGAGATAATGCTAGGAGGGAGATTGGTATGGGGGGTGGAGGGGAGAGGGAGATGGAGGGGTATTTATACTGGTAAGTATGGATATATCCGATGATGGGGGGGTACTGCGGGGTAAAAAGAGAACTAGTATTATGTTCTGCTCTTGCTCTCGGTAGTAGAAAGGTTCGTCGTAGAGAATAGGGACAATGGATTGTTTGCTGGGAATGAGTGTATGGATCTTCGTGTCGGCTTCCGACGGATGTTCGGATGGGGGAGGTTAGGTTCCCTCGGATCTAAGGTAGTTACGGATGTTGGTGGGGGGAGTGGGTTTGCGCTATTGGTATCTACTTGAGACTTTTGGTGATATGTGAAGTTGTTGATTGAATCATACTGTACATGAGGAATTGGTTTGCATGAATGTCAACTGCAGTGTAACTGACAGGAGGCGTGCATGCAGGATGGATGTTCTGCATTCGAGGGACGGAATGAATGGGTTGGCGGAATTGGGGGTGAGGAAAAGATTCCGCCCGGGTATGTCTTTTCTCGGGTCTGTGGGATGGCGGAATATTACCAGGCTGGCCACCACTTCGACTACTCTCTACTTGTGGATGATCGATCTCGTTGAAGCTATTGTTTGCTTTCAGATGTTCAAATAATTGCTAATCTGTTCATGGTACACATAGCTGTTGTGTTGAATATATAGTAATGAATAGGTTGTGTGAATTCACTATTTGCTTGGTATACTTCCTGTCCTCCAAGTTGCCCTAGTATGGGGCCTCTGCTTCAGGCTCTATCATTATACAGCTCGCGCCTGTAGCTAGGAATTGTGACCAAAGGTTGCCATGATGATTGTCCCCAGGATGAAGGAAGACCATGCCGCGCGCCGTCGGATGACGGCTGTGATACCATCGTGGCATGTCTGATGACAAGTTGTGTAGGCAGCGCAGGTGTTGACTAACCCACAGGGTCATGAGCTCAGCCCTCATAATGAAGGATCCCGCTCGATGGACTTTTAGAGACCGCATAAAACACTGTCGACACCCAGTCTTGAGGAGCCAGTACGCGAATGGCCCACCCTCAAGATGAAATAGATGGCCGACTGCCCACAAATTCCAGCATATCGAGGAATATAGCAGAGCACACCAAGAATGGGCCTGTGAGAGTTCAATTCAGCCATTCTCTCTTCTGGGAAGTCGCGGCTCCGGTTGGGGAAGTCAGACTCCATCTCTGTTTCCATCGATGAAGGATGGTTTATAGCTACTGATCGCGACCTGGTGTTTTCACATCATTCCCATCGACTGCAATGCGAGACCGACTCTTGATTTCCATCACCAAAGGAGCCGGGCATGGATTTCAGCGCTAAGAGGCCGACGTTCATGGATGATATCCTCGATGGAACTAGAACAGCACGCCTGAGTTCCGACGGACCCAAACTGTCCGCACACGCTGCGTTCAATGTGTCCATAGCCGGCCTGCGTAACGCGAGATCTCCAAGCCGCCGATTCGTCCGGCTTTAATCCGTAGAATCTCACTTCAGACATCATTGACAGGCTCCGGTCTACTCTTAAAGTAGATCTTGTACTTCACGATCTCGACAATCTCCAACTCTTCTTTGTCGTCGGCGGCCGCACCCAATTCCTTCTGTCTCCGCTGCACAATTGCAAGTGGCTGTGGTAGCTTTTTGACCTCTCCGGTCATTCGCTGATACCGGCCCACATATAGATAGACCCTCTTCATCCACTTTGTATCGTCTGGTGCCGTAAACTGCGGGGAGTAATCGGGGAACATGAGTTTGCCGATGGGGGTTTCGAACACGGGGGCACCATTGGGATTGCCGGGACCGTCGGGTGATGATCTTGACGAGTCATTGCTTTCGCTATTTTCTTGCGAGGGGATATTGATAGTGCCTTGGAGCTCGAGAAGGGCGAGACCGGAGGGGGTTTGCAGAAGCTGGGGAAGGGGATTGTTGACGCGTGCGGAGGGTTTGGACGCGCGAGGGTGGAGGGGTATTGATGGCATTTTGGAATCACTGTCGTTCGGAAAAAGGTGAATTGTGGGAAATAAACTGAGCTCGTTGTTTTGGTACGAGGAGAGTGTATAAAGTAGGATATCGAGGGCGTGGCAATCGGGCTTTGGAATTGGAGGTCGCGAAAAGAGAGATTAAGATTAGCGCGTCACGCCAATCCCGTATCTTATCGGGCATTTCCTCTTTGGGATGTAGTGCCATGAAGGCGGCTTTTGAAGTTGCACATGGTTTAGGAGCTTGGATTCAAGCACGCCAAGATAGTCTACAAGCTACAGTGTACAGATGTTATGTCTTCTAAAGCTGGGAAAGCGATGGTAGATGTCAATTTGATAGGTCAATTGGGTATTATCCTGCATCGGAGTCTTCGATTTCATCGAGAAGACAAGAGTAACAGCGTAACACTGTGGACACTGTATACCATATATAGGATATACGTCCTGTTCAGATCTTGCAAATAGAGAAGCGAACACGTGCTGTTGACTTGTTCTACCGGCCCCCAAACCCGGTATGATCCTGTCTGAACCATCACCCATATGCACGTACATGCGGCTGGTCAGGTTCTGAGAGAAGGGCCAATGGTTGCCAACATTCAAGGGAGTCTAGTCCAAGGAAGCAGAGGCCTTGCCGAGCTGGAGCACACTGGTCTCACACAATGTATGTACCCGTGCTGCAGTGTTGCTTTGCGGCATCTAGCCAATGCAACTCGAGCAGGCAGGCAGGTTATGTTATTCGTGCCTGACAGTTGGGCAACTGGAGGATTGAGAATATTATCCTCTATAATAGTAATGCGTCTGCCATATAGCGCTCAGCTTTTACGATAGCACGCATCTTCCAGATGACCCAAGCCTCGGATGGCTTCATTCACCATGTCTTCGCCGCTTGTGCCGGCGGGGCCTTGCATCTTGCCGTAGCGCAAGTCGCTCATTTCTCCGACCGTGTTGTTGAGCATAGTCAAGATCGCTGCTGCTTCCTCATCGGTCTCAGAAACTTGACGGTCAATGTCCGAGATGGCCTTCTCCATGGCATCCAGGAGACTAGATGATGAATGATAGTCGGAAGACGATGTTTGTCCGAACAATTGGACATCCATATCCATCTCACGCTGATCGCTAGAGCTGAGTCCGTCAACACCTGTTTTGGTGACGGACTTCCGGAGCTCTGCTTTTTGGGTCTCCCCCTGGCGAACCTCCTTGTCAATGTTACCGTTGACGAGGTCCATGTCATTTTCCCGTAGCTCTTGCAGTTCGCGGTAGAGCGCCCTAATGTGCGGATGAGACCGCAAACGCTTTGGGAAGAGCTCAGTAAACTGCTGTAACGACATGATCGTCGGCAAAGGGGCCGGTGAGAGCAGAAAATTGCCCAGAATTGAGGATTCCGTAGGCGCCATGGTGATTGAATAGCAGAATGGCGCAGCCAACACTCGATAAAATATGGCTAACACTCAAAGTAGCTAGTTCGCCTTCTGGAGGCTTCCTTTGGTTCACCTTCTGAGGTGATATTGTCTTGTCGCTGCTGTGTTACCCTCAATCGGAGTGTATCGCGTCTTGCGCGGATCCAGTTACCAGAACACCAAGGTGGCTGGGGTGGCACAATGATTGAGTAACAGCGCTCAGCTTGCTGAAGTAAACGACCGTAGCCGGTTTTTAAGCAAGATTGGTTGATGATACGTTGCTGGTGTTGATGGAATAAAGAAAGAAGAAGATGAGATGGCGGCGGGCAAAGCAATTAAAACTAGCCGGGAAAGTTCGTGACTTGCCCTTTTGGACGCGTTCCTCATCCAGTCGTTCCGCTTCCTCTTCTTGTCCCAACCGCGACATGCTTTGAACCCTCACCACTTCTACAACCCCATTATCCTTTCTAATCGGCATTGGATCGGAGAGATTCGTCTTGTTCCGGCCATCTTCCCGAAATAACCAGGGAATATCCAGCCATTCACTGTGAGACCACCGGCTCCTGTCTTATATTGGAGGTTCTGACACTGCTTGGAGCCAATCAACTATCTTCCAAACCAGCCAGAATCATTATAAGCTGGCTGTCTGCAAGGCCTAGTGAAGACTCACATCTGCCACATCACTTCCCTGCTCGTGTGCGCACAGTTGCCATTTTATTCGCTTGCTTCAGTCACTGTTCATCTCAGTGCACGTGCTTCGCAGAGGCAAATTTGACTTGACGAGACCTTAAATACCTGTCTCACCATTCTACTCCGTGTTTCTACTTGTTTCTTCTCGCGATCAAGCTGGTGAAACCTGTGGCTGGTATTTTGAATTGCTATAACAGCATCCTACCCCTCAGTGACAGCAGACACCCCTTGATCTGTCTACGCGCCACTTCATCTCAAAATGGCCCCAACAAGCCAAATGACCTACCAGAAGGACGAGAGGGTTCTCTGTTTTCATCATGAAATTCTGTACGAGGCCAAGATCCTTGACCTGAGGCATACAGACCCAGAGGACCGTAAGAGTCCTTATGAGTATCTAGTCCACTACAAGGGCTGGAAGAATACGTACGTCTAACCTAGTGTTATCCCCTTCATCTCTCCGAATTCTCTTACCTCCTGTCTTGGGTTGGAATTGTGATTCTGCTCTACATGGCAGAAGGACGGGGTTCGCGCAATTTCCCTTCTGCCGGTGAAGCCACCATCACGCCGGAACGGAGAGGTGTCCTTGTCAGAGCCACAATTGCTGACATTTGTTCTGTCTTTCCAGCTGGGATGACTGGGTTCCCCAAGACCGCCTTCGTAAATTCACGGAGGAAAACAGAGAATTAGCCACCACTCTTCGTCGTGAGGCAGAGGCTGCATTCCGCCAGAAGAGCACCAAAGCCTCTGTCAAGAAGAGGGGAGGCTCCGACCGCAGTTCCGCCCGAGGCAGCGAGGAAAGGCAAACCTCAGTGCCTGGCCGCGGAACCAAGAGAGCTCGTGACAACGATATCGAAAAGGTAAGTCTGCTGCATTATTGCCTTCAATATTCCCCGTAGCCTATCACACCGCCAGTGACGGTGCGCACAGGGGCAGCACTGTTGATCACACATACTAATCGTGTCATCACAGGAGGAGAGCTTTTACGTGCGCCCTTCAGTAAGGATCGTAATGCCAGACAATTTGAAGTCTCTCCTAGTGGACGATTGGGAAAATGTCACCAAGAACCAGCAAGTCGTGGCCTTGCCTGCCAAGTCCCCGGTCAATCAGATCCTGGACGACTACGTCAATGAGGAGAAGCCCAAGCGCACAAGCTCGGCTGATACGGACGTCCTTGAAGAAGTCGTTATGGGTGTACGTGAATACTTCGACAAAGCGCTTGACAAGGTCCTCCTTTACCGGTTTGAACGCGAGCAGTACCGGGCTCTCCGCAAAAAGTGGGAGGCAGGCTCGGGCGACTACGCCGACAAGGGACCACTCGACATCTACGGTGCAGAGCATCTGACTCGTCTTTTTGGTAGGTTTCCTTCGTCTTAAGATACCACATACATCACTAACAGATACTCCATAGCAACCATGCCCGAGCTCATCGCACAAACAAATATGGACCTCCAGTCAACGAATAGACTCCGTGAAGAACTGTCCAAGTTCACCATCTGGCTGAGCAAGAACTCCAGCCGATACTTTGCTACAAGATACATGACTGCGAGCAATGAGTACATTGAGAAGTCGCGTGGCGTTCCGAATCCAACCCCTGGAACTGCAACATCGCGTTTAGTCTAGACGTGTGGCCATTGATTCATTTCTGCGTTTGCTTTTTCTCCACCGTTTTTCTTCGAGCATATCTTATCTCCTCCCTTTTTTAATTCGATTGCGTTCGACCGACTTGGGCTGCGACAAAAGGTTAGTTAGCAAAGACTGAAGTTGCTTTTTATGTATGTTACGGCGATGATCATACTTTTTTCCTGTACCATTAGTAGGATAGAATTGGAATCACTCAGCTAGCGGAACTGAAATTTCAATCACTTTTTCCAATATGTGTAACTCAGAACATGTTCATGAAACTGGCCAGCGAAGGTATAAAACAAAAAGTAAGAAGAACTGGATTTCCACCATCACCTAGTATCTAGACCGCTACCCCAAGCAACAGACACAAAACACAGCCAACAACACAGAAGAACCATCGTCTTAACAACCTAAACAACCAACCCCCTCGCATCATCGACCGCACACCTCGCCGCCCTCTTCAACTCCATCTTCCAATCCGCCTCACGATACCTCGTCCACGCCCCCAGCCCCTCCGGCGGCTGAATGCTCAACGTCTCATACCCCTGCTTGATGATTCGATGGACTTCCCGAGGACTCAGATTCTTTTTCAGGTTCGCCGGTACCGGTACCGCTTCTCCACTTTTCCCCGCCGATTCGGCATTCTGATCCGGATCCACGAACAACAGCGTGTAGAAGTGTGTGGAGACGGAAATCAGCGTGTCGATGGCGGCTACGTGGACTTCCTTGTTGATATCAGCGCCTGCGGATGCGGATGCTGGTGCCTTGAAGTTGTAGACGTCACGGAAGCGCGTGATGATGGGGCCGGTTTCGACGAGCTTGTAGAAGAGGTCGTCGTAGGAGAGTGGATCTGGGAGGAAGGTGTCGCCGGAGGAGACGCAGAAGGCGATGAGGTTGATGAGAGTGGTGGTTAGGGTTGTGGTGTGTGGGTTGCTGGTTAGGTCCGGGGCGTAGGTGGTTAGGAAGCGCGTGAGGGAGAGGAGGGTGCGCCAGAGTTCGGACCAGTGGTAGGTGAGGCGGATTTTGTTCATGGAGAGGTAGGTCAGGAGGCGGAGGAAAATGGATATGCAGTGGCTTTCATCGGTTAGTCTCGGTTTAACTTGTGTTTTTGGTTGAGGAGAAGGGAGGTTTACCTGTAGAGGTTGACGTCGAGTCGGCGGCGGAGATTGTGGGTTAGGGTGTCGATGAGAATGTCGAAGATGACGGTTACTAGGACTCGATCGCCGTTGACGAGAGGGAGATATGGCTGTCTTTGACGGCAGAGGCGCACTCTGCGCTTGCTTTCTTCGCTGCAGAGTTGCTTGCATAGCGTGCTGTCTTCGGAGAGGATGCGCAGGGTGAGGAGGTTCAGCTCGGCGTAGTGGGCGACTCTTGGGGACCGATAGGCGTGCTGTAGAAGGTAGGAAGTGAGGGAGAGGAAAGAGGCGAATGGTGTCTCCTCGTTGTCCTTCTCGGGAGCCGCGCTGATGAGGTGGTAGCCGAAGAGCTTGTTGGCATTGATGAAGTCGTAGGTGGCGAGGAGGATCGCTGCTTGTTGGGCCGGTCTGGTGTTGTTAGCGGGGGATACCCTCTAGGAATTAGGATAGGCTTACAGCGCTGCGAACAGATCTTTGGCTTCTTCTGCGGTTGGCGTGCCGGCTTTCTCTTTCTTGCCCGGGGCAAGTACACCCAATCCGAAATAGATCAGGGTACCGATGAGAGACCAGCCCTCCGGAGAGTCATCTTGCACTGCAACATAGCCGTTTCGCAGAGCACCACAGGAGAGACCGACCCCCTTGGCAATCTTCTGGATACTGGCCTCGTTGACAAAGTCGTCGAGTCGCAGCTGGTAGGGGTTTTGGAATTCGAACTTGTTGTAGTTTGCCAGCAAACCCAAAAGCACGAATGGCTCGAACATTTGCATTGGGGTTTCCGTTTCTTGGACGAACTTGATTGAAGATTAGCTTGGTTATGGGATGCTTGGGAAGTAACAAACCTTCATGAGAGAAGGAAACAGGTCACGGTGTGTGAAGTAAGAAACCAAACTTGTCTTGTACGCGCCGCTAGTCATGGCGATGGCGGCTTTTATGGCCTTGAGACGGATATCATCTGGTATCCGTTAATGTGCACGGTCGAAGTGATGTCGCTCATGAAAAGGGACTTACAGCTGCTGCCGTTCCGAATGATGCCATCCAGGACAGTGACAAAGTTGGAGATCACATGGTCCACGTGGTCGAGACCAGCAAGAACAGTAATGACATCTGAGCTGGGGTTGGTGTACTTCTTCTTCAAGACACATGCTAAGAAGATCGTCAAGGTCTAGATCATAGTTAGAAAGTGATGACAGTCGTCGGGCAATGCACGTACCTCTAGAGCATAGGAATCCACCGGACTGGAGGTGGAGGCCGCTTCGCGAATTGCGCGAGCAAAGAGTTGCTGTGTTTGGATCTGCTAGAATGTTAGAAGGGACTGTCTGCTGATAGACCAAGCATGGTTGTGACGCACCTGCAAGTTGAGCGTCTCGTCAGGACTGAGCTGGTTCAAGACCGCAGTAAGCCGAGTACGATCGGGAGGCAACAAGAAAAACTCGCGCCAAAATCCCTCCGATGGCTCTGCATAGTCGGTGGTCTAAGAAATTGGGTCAGCTGGAGTGGTATATACGCCGCGGGGATTACGATACATACTTGGAATAGATTCTCGTATAGTTGCACGATCTTAGGCTTGAAGGTTTCGGGTCTACTTTGTTGGGTTAAGGGGGATTCCATTGCGTTAGGTGAGAGGAGTGGCGGTCAGCATTAAACATGGGACCGCTGCCAGCATCACAGATGGGAAGTTTAAAGAGCCAATATGAGATTCAATAGCAAGCGGGCCGATGGAAGAGGGACTTGGAAGTGGACATGAAATGGTAGTCGCCAGCTTATTCGACCACCACTTCATTTCTCTTTTTCTGCCTATTCGGGCCAGCCCACACCAGCCACGCAACACCCCTGCTCCCCCACCAGCCACGGTTTATGTATGAAGGCGCCACGGTTTCGCTTTGTATTGTCTGAAAGTAGGAGAGGTCTGAGCCTCCTACTTTCTTCCAGCATAATTTAAGATAAAAGTATTTTCATTTATTCTGTCCCTTGACTTTCTTGTCATTGCAGTGACAACACGTGCCTCTGCTCATGCCGACCTTAAGATGACATAATCAGGGGCATGTGAAACTAACCACTTAATAACATTTAATTTGATGCATGACCTGACATCAAAAGAGTGTCAAGGGTAGATAGAATGCTCCCTTATAGAAAGTAGATCATGTGCGTAACAACTCTGCTATAGTCACGTATAGACAAGGATCAGCAACTCTTTCCCGTTGCTCCCCGGGTCCTTCATTATTGTTCTTGTCTCCTGAAACATCAAACAAAGCAGAAACCCATTAGTCATGGTTCACGCCTGAGGTACTCATTGTGGTGTGGTGACTCGTTACTCAGGCAGCCGTGTTAGTAATAACGGTGAAGAGCATCGGGCCAATCACAGTAAAGGAGTAGCAATCGCAGGGCCAGCTCAGCAATGAACAAAGTCAAAGAAAAGAAAGGAAATGGGACTGCTGCATGATCACTGGGTCACAGAGGGGCCGTTTAGATTGCAACGGACAGTTCCCCAACAACCCCGGCTTCGATCAGGCGTTCATTTGAGACCACAGCAGTGGCGCCACCGTCGCTGTGTAGAAACACCTCCACGCTGATTGGCCCGCCGGGTCCTGGCCCTGGCACCTTTTAACCGACCGCCGGCAGTCTTTCCGCCTCCCAAACAGACTCAACTTCCGACTCACCATCATTCTTCCACTTTTCCATCATATTCCTTTTCGTTCAGCGACGACACAACGATTAGATTCATGACATTTCAGCTCCTCGTTACTCCTACTGCAGTATAGAGCATCTTCTTCATCAAACACATCACATTCTCCCAATATGTCGCTTTGCAAAGCTACCATGCCCTCGCCGGTGACATCATCCGCCACGATCCTCACCTGGCTCAGACAGTCCTCCTCCAGACGCTCGACGCAGACCTGCCGTCTATTCTCCTCATACGGCAATTCTCACCGGTCCTCGAAGCGCGAATTGCAGACTGCCACTGCCTACCGTCCTCACTCGCTGCCCACCTCCTTCCCGCCGCCCCGGAACACGGGCATCTCTGACACTTCCATCGCCGCCGACTTCCCTTCCCTTCGTGAGATGTCCCAGCCTCAGCTGCCCGGCCAGCAGGGCCTATCCGACCTCAGCCTCCGGGAAAGCGAGGCCCAGAAGTCCAAGCCTGTGTCCGCTCCTGCTGCTGCCGAAAAGACCGCCGCCAAGCCCACAGAGAAGCCCCGGCGCAAGCTGCGTGCCAGGAAGGCCGCGATGAAGCTGACCCCCGTGGCTATTGAGCAGCTTCGCAAACTCCTCTCACAGCCAGACCCCAAGCTGATTCGAGTCGGTGTGAAGAACCGTGGCTGCTCCGGTCTCGCCTACCACCTGGAGTACGTGGAGAAGCCGGGTGCTTTCGACGAAGTAGTGGAGCAAGACGGTGTCAAGGTTCTCATCGACAGCAAGGCATTGTTCAGTATCATCGGCAGCGAGATGGACTGGCAGGAGGACAAGCTGAGCAGGAGATTCGTTTTCCGCAACCCGAATATTAGTAAGCTTCCCTTTGTCCGCGGGAAACCCCAGAAACGGCTGCTAACGTATTACCTGTGCAGAGGAAGAGTGTGGATGCGGTGAATCCTTCATGGTCTGATTTATGAAACTGAAATTGGCACCTTTATATGTTTCGAGTTCATAATTATGCGGATTCATGGGTTTTCTCGCGTTTGTGCATTAGCTGGCGTTTTACTGGTGGCGGGTTTGGCGGGTTCGGATAATCCCTTCTTTTATTGCTTCATGCTGGACATACATTGATTCCCGGGCAATGAGCCCACTACTGTGCAATATATCTATTTTGTCATATGATCGACGGCACTGCATGATACCGCAGGCAACATTTGTTGAAGATTCAGCGATACAAGCCGTGATCAATCATTATTTTATTACTACTTTATGTAGGACGATCGTGAATACAACAACAAATTCAAATGACCATATAATCGAAACCTCGAGTAAAAACTATATCCAAATTTAGGAATAAAATCACCGAGCTTACATGCAGCAATGGCCTTTCGGTTCCTTTGGAACTTTAGATAAGATCCGGAGTACTTGAATGAAAATGTCGGATGGCCTGTCCGATCCCTGCAATACTCCGGCTGCACCTCATCCGATAGTACATGAAGTGCTCATAACAGAATACTATAAGTCTACTATTCGACCAGCGGCAACTATCACCTCTACCTACTACATTTCCAACTTCCACTACAACCATATTACTCCTAACACCCCCCTAACCTATTGATAACACTGACCATCTCCATTCCTAGTGATCATACCTCCACCCACCTACAAACAAGCCACCCCCATACATCAAATGATCAACCCTTCTAAGAAAAATATTCACCGCACCACCCTCTCCCAAACCCCCTCAACATCCTCATCCGGACTAATATTATCCACGATCCCCAACGCCGTCGTCGGCTTCTTATACCCCAATAACTCCAACATCTTCGGACTCATCTTAGTGACCACACTCCGCGGAATAGCCAGGAACTGATTCTCCTCCGTCCGCAAATGTCCCCTACAAAAGAACAAGCCGTACATATTCCTCACCGTGCCGGGGAGCGAGTTATGTCCTCCCCCATGGTACGCCGAGGCAAGGAATATCAGCGCTGAGCCGGCTTTCATCTCTACCCACACTTATCAGAATTATCCAGAACAATACCAAGAACAATACCAGTAAAGGGGGTGCGTAGTGGGTAGGGCAGGTAACATACCAGCAAAACACACCTCCCCCTTCTCATGGTCAACCTCCGCCCACCTCTCATCCCCCCATCGATGACTCCCCTTCACAAACATCGTGGCCCCCATCTCCCGACTAACATCACAGCCCGCAATCAGACACCCAAACTGACTGACCTGATCCCACCCCCACTCCCACTCGCGATACTCATGTCGCACATGATGCACATTATCGTCCCGGTGGAGGAGCTGACGAGGCGCCCCGTACCCGATGTTCATTGCCACGCTGAGGCTGAGTAACGGGTCGAGACGGTTCGGCTCCACGCTGTCTTCTCGGTTGATGCACCATTCGTCCACGAGGATGCGCGTGCGTAGGGCTTCCAGGGTGGGGTGCTCCGCGGTGATTCGGGCTATGGTGGGGGATTTGCCTACCAGGCCCGGGATGAGGGTCGTTTGGGAGGGGATGGTGGTGAAGGCGCCGTTGGTTGTGGAGGTGGGTTTCTTGGTGCTGGTGCTGGCGCTGGTCCATGGGGTGAGCTCGGTGTCGATGGCGGTGAGGTCTTCTCTTGGGATGAAGTCGGAGATGATCACGCCGCCGTCGCGGGAGAGGATGGCTAGGATGTATTCGATTGGGGTGGTGGAGGGGATCGTGCGGAGATGGGATTTGGGGGTGTAGGTTGCTGGGATCGGGGGTGGGATGGGGAGGGGGAGGCGGGTCATTTTCGTTGTTGTTGCTGTTGTTACTTCGTAGTGGTTTTGAAATGTAGATGGTTCAGTTCGTCTGGTATGGTGATGATGCTTGTAGTCTGTGTACTATCCATGGATTCCGCCTCGAGGGCGTGATATAGTTCCCCTCTCGGGTCGGGTCGGCTTCGTTGCGGAGATCGGGTGACATATCCGATGATAGGGCTGACATGTGTGATTGATAGGGCTGACATGTGTGATTGATAGATGTTGTGGCTGGATCTACTGCACTGGTCTGGAGATAACATATGATGGACTGATGGATTAGTACAGTGATGGTGTTGTCTGTTTCTGTGCTGCCGCTTCGGGTGTAGCTCGGAAGTATGATCATTATCGGTCAATAGTTATGTATTGGTTGTAGTATAGTTGCTATCTAGAGTGTATATCAATTGCAGTGCATATGCTCTGCTACTGCTCTCGATAAAATCAACAACACCCTATATGCAAGTGTGAGCTCCACCACTTCGAAGCTCCATATACACGACTCTATATACGTTAATAAATGCCACACATCACAAATCATCCCCCTCCTGAGCTAGCCAGAAAGACGGGCTAGCATTGTAATCAATCTGATCCACAATGGCCGCGATATCATAAGACGTCAATCCCAGCTCAGGCAACTCATCCTCTGAGACATTTATATCCCCAGTGATGAACGGTAACTGGGTGTTGTCATTTGGCCTATGATCCTGCTCATGCGCATCATCACTCGTCTCTGGAACTAAGGCGGTACTGATGTGATTCGCCGCATTCGCATACCGCTCCTTGAGTCCCTCGAACAAGGTCTCGAGACGAGTCAGATCAGCTTTGCGAATTTCAGCGACGCGGTTCCCCTTGCTGATGATTTCATCGAGAATCAGATGGGCTTGTTGATTGGAGCTTCGCTGTCCCACTAATTCTGGTACAAGGGCGCTGGCCATAGTGAGGTGGATAGCGGCGCCGTACGTAAATTCGAGGTCGAAGGGGAGGTATGATTCTGCGGTGCGATTAGTAGCTGATAATCGTTCTTTCTGGATATTGCCCACCGAGAAGGCCCTCGTCCACTAGAGCTTTAAGTAACTGTAGACTTTTGGTCGCCGAGTTGATCCCCGTTGACATCAGTGTTTCCATGAGAGGGACAATCCGGCGGCAGCATTCTAAAGGTAGGCCAAGTTTATCCAAACGCTCCCGTAGAACGGCTAGAAGGAGGGGCCGTGTGGCAACGATGACACACTAGTAGTTTGAGTTAGCTCGGATGTTGGTTTGCTCGAAGGCAGACATACCTCGTGATATAGCAGGAGAATATGGCGCATCCCTTTCGACATGGAGTTGACCGGGCCTGCGAATTTGGTATTGATAAAGTCTTCCAGTTCCCGAGCTAGATCAGCCATAGTGTTTAGAATAGTCTTCGTTTTCTCAATGAATGATTCGATGGGCCGTCTCTCAGTCCTGTAAACGGCTATCGTCCATGAGTCGAAGTTCTCTCGTAATGGTGATTATAAAACCTACTGCCAAGTATTGTGGACAATAACCGCGATAGCTTCACTCTCAGACTTAGCATAGCGTTCCTCTGACACGATTGTGTTGGGGAATCAATTAATGCTGTGACATCGCTATCATGCACAATCATCGGAATGCCCAGTGATGACGAAAAATGGCGGTCCATAATGTACAATGTCCACCACAGATTACGGCAGCGATCAACAGCTGCTGCCCCCAGCTCTTGCTCTGGAAGCTCCGTGTGTAAACCTTCAAGTTGCGCAATCCTGATGGCCTGGCTAGCCTGTACTATGTTAGATTTTCCACCCCGCGCAATTTCAAAAGCAAGCCAGGTTCTTACAAAAAGGTGTCCTGACTCTCGTCGATCAATTGAGTAGAGATACAAAGCTGCTAGAGCCATGACCTCGATGGCCAGAAGAGTATCTCTCCATATAGAACTGTAATCTGGCATCAAAGACATGGCACGGACAAAGTATGCTGCACCTGGCGGGTCTCTCTTCTTAGACTGGTCAAGAAACGCTTTTCCAAAAGACAACACTAGCAAAAACTGGATGAACCACAGCCGACTATCAGTTGCTTTCTTGGTTGCATCGCCGTAGTAGAACTCTTGCATATGCGTTGTGAAGGTCTCCTCGTCCAAGAGCCGGAAAGTCTGGCCCAGATGGAACTTGACTGTGTTGAAGAGATAAAGAGCGTAGTCCATAGACGGGAGACCGCTGATATCAGGAGCAGCATCAGAAGACGACTTCCACTGTAGAGGATAGATATCTCCATCAAGATAGTAGGGAATATCGTAGGCCACGTCCGGATGCAGCCTTTGAGACATCATCAAAGTGAGGCGAGCGGTAAACGACCAAGTAGATGTTGGAGCCAGCCAGACTAGTCAGGTTAGCCGCATACGCATAACAACCAAGAGTATATCAGAGTAGAGAGTGCAGGTCTTACTCCATCGGGATAATCGATTATCATGGGTGTTCCTCATCGTCATTGAGGGCAGACCAAATGGACTGGGCCAATTTGCACCTGGAGAACGCGATTCTGAACCGAGAACATCTAACAGAGTAAGACTACAGCGAGGAGACAACAGAGTTTGCCCGCGTCATATACATACTTTCGACTTCCTCGAATGCAACATCGTGGGTTCGTTTCTTCGTCGTCTCATGCTGCTCTTTAGCCTGTGTCTGCAACTCACGGAGGCACCTGCCGCATTATGAGCATCGTATGATCCATAGCCATCCGATCCTTTAGAAAGGTACCGTTCCGATATCAGAACCCTACGGTTTTCCTCGGAAAACCGACAAGGAACAGCGCGTCTCTGACAATTGGCGCATGGTTCGACTCCAGAGCATTTGATCTTGCTCTGACGACAGGCAATACATCTGGATAAGCGGGGTCAACATCGGCAAGCTAGTTTCCAGATTACTTTCCAGGTTTCTTACGCGTTCGCCGTTCGTTTTAACTTGCGGGGCTCGGCTTGCATCGTGAAGATCACCCGAGACACCAAGGAGCAGACCCTTAGGCAAGCGAGTAGTCCGCCACGATGATTGTATCTCAGGACATTTTGATTCTTTTGGACTTGGATAGGAAGGAGAGATAATGATAAGCTAGGAGGATGAGGGGAAGATGCCGATCACGAGACCGGCTCGGTCTTATCAAACCCCACTGCACAGACAATGTCTTTATTTTCTCCAAACTAGTTACCCGTTCGGGAAGACGCGTATGATTGCTTATCTTCGTCCGTCTTCCTACACTGGATTCTGTCTTCTGATGTTATCGCATAATTGAAGTTTAAACATAAACATGATGCCCAGGTCCAATAATCTTTGGGCCTGGCTTGCGAGGGGGCGCTTACCATGGAATACGAATTGACATAGTTAAGAGCGAATGATCCCAAGAGCATTGTCACGCAAAGCTGTTGCATTGCCATGCGACAAATCGTATAGTACCGTCTACTTGTTCCATAGCACATGGAAGTAAATACACATACAGAACATTAAATCATTGTTCATCTCGATAAACATAAGTACCATACTGGGGAGCAGTATAGCCAATCACACGTCCTCCTTCCCAAACTATAAATCACGTGTACAGCCCCCGGAAGACCTCAGGCAACAGCCTTATCGGAGGTTATCGCACGCAAGCCGTGACGTACCGACATCGCCGGCTTCAATCTTCATCTCACACCCTGTACACCTCTCCACAAGACGCATAGACAATGGCATCATCATCCTTTCTAAAATCCCCTCCGCCCCTCGACCTCCCACCCTCGACCTCAACCTCCAACCCCCTTTACGTGACCATCCGCTTCTCCGCCTCCATTCCCGACCTCCCCCTCGACATCTTCTCCCCGGAAACCACCACCTCCGCGGGCCTAAAACAACTCATCCGCACACGTCTCCCCCCTAACCTCTCCTCTCACCGTCTCCGCCTCATCCACGCCGGCCGTGGCCTCGAAGACAAGACCCCTCTCTCCGTATCCCTCAAACTCCCTCCCACACCCACGCGGTCCCCGCGACCACCAACATCCTCCCCGCCCAACGACACCACCTCGGACCCGGCCTCCGATCCCAACCGCAAAGGCAAAGCCCCTGTCCGCGACCATCCCCGTCTCTACATCCACTGCTCCATCGGCGATATCGTTCTCTCAGCGGCCGATCTTGCCGCGGAAGCATCGATCGCATCTACACTCAACGATGACGAAGAACAATCACCATCAGATACTCATCATGAAGACGGTAGTGCCAGAGGACACCGACAGAAAGATGTACAGAGTGGCGGTGATGCTAGTACTACGACGCCCGCGCCACGGGGCTTCGACCGATTACTCTCGGCGGGGTTTACACCCGCGGAGGTGGCAGGCCTCCGGTCGCAGTTTCTAGCGGTACAGTCGGTGTCGCATACCCCGGATACGATGCCGTCGGGGGCGGAGTTGCGGGAGTTGGAGGACCGGTGGATGGATGAGGGGTCGACGGCGGCTATGGCGGCTGGGGGAGGGGGCGGGGATGGTGGGGTGGTGTCGTTTGCGGAGGATGATGGGGGGTTTGGGGCTGGGTCGAGGGGCGCGATGGATGATATGCTTTGGGGGGCGGTGATGGGGTTCTTTTGGCCGGTTGGGTGTGCCATGTGGTTGAGGAGGGAGGAGGGGGTCTGGAGTTGGAGGAAGGGGTTGGCGGTTTTTGTTGGGGTCGTGGTTAATATTGCTTTTGGGGCGATGAGGATTATGAATTAGTGTTTTCTTGTTTGGTTTCTTTTTCCATGTATTATACCCTTGGTTGTTGGTTTTTCTCTAAGTTTTCTAGACATCATAGGGCTTGGCTTGTCGACGGAATTGTGCGAGGTACTAGAACATGTAACATGGCGCCTGATTAAAACTGATGGGTTGCTATCATACAACATTGCGTGATGTGTCTGCGACTGCAGACTTATAGGTGTCGTTAAGAGGGAAATAAAATGAAAGAGAGGCCACCGGTAATAACGCCTTCCAAACCCACGCTCAATGGAACTTGCTGTAGATAACGGCGAAAATCAACAAGATCAAGACTGTGATGATTGCGATTGTGATCAACCGATTCGTAGCCATCCTAGAAGACAGTAAGCATTTGGGCACCAAGCGGCTGTGGCAAGCAGCAAAGCAAATGTCCTTGTGCATTAGGGGGACAGTACCTACGGGCCATGCCCCTTAGTGTCTTGATACTGGTGTCCACATATCCTTCGCTCTCGAGCAGTCGACCCCGCGCATTCATAATCGTCTCGCGCTGCTGGTTCAAGTCGGCCAAGGTGTTGCGACCAATATCCTCCGTTTCGAGAGCGATGCGCTGACTCTCCTGGAGCCGGGCGGAACTGCGCTCCAACCGCTCCGTACCAGACAGGAGCTGTTGTCTTTGTTCCAGATGTTCGTCCTGCGGATCATCTGTGTAGCGGTCGCCGAAGAGCGCCTTGCGGTCATCAGAGAGAGACCTCAACTTGCGCTTTGCCTCATCGATATCGGTAGCGTAGTTGCGAACGCGCGTGTTGATCTTCGATCGTGCTGCTGAGGGGATGTTTTGTTTCTCCATGCGCATTTGATCTAGCTGTATTCCCGCTTGTTAGTGGGGAAATGACGCGGAATGCGCTTTTTGACAAGCTAGTCGAACATACCAATTCTGTGGCTTCATCCAGGGCTCTCTCGGCTTGCCTGATTGCTGACTTTCGTTGCTCACCGCTTGACTCGGCGATCTGGTCCAGCTTCTGATTCAAATCGGCTTGTACCAGCTTTAGCTCGGTCTCGTAGCTGCTGAAGAGCTCCGAGCCGGCGTCGGTGTCCAACGGGTTCGACATTATGATATTAGATGGGGCGTTGGCGTAGGTTGAAGAGTCTTTGGTTAAGTTGTACAGCCGATCGAGACCGAATTAATCAGTGGATAGGGGTTGCGGATCCAAGGAAGTGGAGAGAGTAGTACGGAGTAGCCACCTTATCTTCCGTGGTGGCTGGCGGCGCCCGTGCTGCTCCGGGAAAGAGATTGGGACAATCAACGGAGTGAATGACACGGTCTATGAGAGAATGAACCAGAATCAGCTCGAAAAACAAAACCAGTATATCTGAAGGACAGACGGAGATGCAGCTGGATGGAAAGAAGATAGGATAGGCAGATGCATGGAGAGAGACAACTGGCTGGCCTGCGGCGATGACAGGAACGGCGACGGGCACACGTGATCGGCGGCCGAGGCAGAGGGATCCGGCTGACGTCGTCGGGCTCAACGGCCGTTAAACCAGACTAACTTATTAGTCTAATTGTTGCATCGCATCTGGCGCCAAGTTCGACCAACAGATCCATTGTATGGATTCCATTCATCGTGCCGTTGAATGCCCCTCCCCCAATCCAGGGTCCCAGCGCTCACCCTCGCTTATGGGAGGCTAACATTATGGTTGGCTTGTTCCTTTCCATTCTTCAAGGAGAATGGTCCCCTGACTCGTGGTCAATTAACTTCTCTAGGATTCGCCCCCCTCATTATTTCCGTCTCAGATCGGTGGAGCTTTCTCCTCGACTTATATAATGGCCCTATTTCCTTAGGCCCCCCTCACTAGTGACAGGTCACATATCTACCCCAGTTTTCGTTTGGGCTCTTTTTTCGGTAGATCTGCCTTAATATCAAGGAACATCCATTCCCTGAATACTCGACTGAGTCACCCTAGCTGTGTCTGTCATCTGATGCGATCACATTTGGCCGCCACATGAGGACAAGAGCGCGTTGCAGGTTGGGATCTGAGCGCACATGGTAGTCTTGATAAATCTGTTGTCACCCTGTCTTCGATCTTTCTGTGAGACTGTTCTTCCACCTTACCACTCCAATGTTCCCTATCCCAGTATTTCCGGATAGGGCAAGGAGTACTATACAATCTTTCAAGCTGTCTACTAGACACTGAGCCTGGTCTTGAATCAGCATCCCAGCGCGCCAAGTTCGTGCCGATATATTCTTTTCATTCTCTCCGGTTGGCCTGCTCTATGGCAAGGTTAGCCGCTGACAGCTGTTGTTTTCATGCCGCCCTTTCAGCCTGAGCGGGTTGCTGTTATAGGGGGCGGTTGCACGGGTATCACGACTGTATGGGCATTGCGGGATTCCACCCATGATGTTCATCTATTTGAAGCCTCAGACTCCCTTGGTGGGCGCGTAAATGCCCTGCCTTTTGAGCATGATGGTCACCGAGTTGATGTCAATACAAGTTTTCCCAACTTTAATGCCGGGGCTTCTCGTTAGTGGCAACTTCCCAGCCCGTATCTTTCTTGACTAATTCACATCTTCAGCAAACCTCGTTTCGTTGTTAGACTACCTTGGGATTACCAGTGTCAAGGCTCCGTTCTCCTTTGGGGCTACGGATGGGATTGACAGTTTCCAATGGTGTGGTAGCATACTGAAAAGCATTCTTCTTCGTCCATGGACACTTTGCAACTTAGAGACCTATCGCATACTGTGCGATGCTATTTGGCTGAAATACATGGCCGTGGACGTACTCGATCCCGGCTTTGAGGCTTGTAAACCCACGGATCCCCAGTCGTTATCCACGCATGAGTACCTCGCAGGCGAAGAGTACTCCAATACCTTTATCGAGAACTATCTAGCCCCACTGCTGTCCATTCTGTGGAGCACGAATGCGGGGAAGTTCCTGCCACGGGTTCCTGCGAAAGCCCTCTTCCAAGCCATGTATCATCACCAGCTGTTGAAGCCCCGTCAAGCCTTGCCAAACTGGCGTCGTATCGGACCAGGAGTGAGCCAGTTCATCCAGACCATGACCAAAAGCTTTCCCTCCTCGAAGGTTCATCTCAAGACTAGAGTAACGGAGATTGTCCAGTATGGAAAGAAGTACGGTATTATGACATCCGCAGGCGAAGAACTATTTTTCAATCATATTGTCTTCGCCGTTAACGGCCAGGAGACTATCAAGATGCTGGGATCGCTCGCAAATGAGCAAGAAAAGGAGATCATCCGAAGTCTAGGTTCAACCAGAAACATCTCTGTTTTGCATTCTGATCCTCTTGTACGTCCCAACCAGTCACACTATATAACCCCTCCTACTAACCTCACAAACCAGCTCATGCCCAACGTCGAAGACCCGGGTCCCGCCTGCAACTACATCCTAGGCCCCAGCAACCAAGACTGGCAAACCCAACCAAGTAACACTACCACCACCATCACATCCCACGTCTCCAGTCTCAGCTACATCGCCAACTTCCTCGACAGCATCCCTTCCTACATTTTCGGCCCCATATACATCACCCTAAACCCCTTCACCCCACCGCACCCAAGCCACGTGCAAGGCGTATGGGAGTTCACCGACCCGGAGCCTAGCGCCCAGACCCTAATAGCACAACATCGTCTCCCCACCATCCAGAACAAGCGTGGTCTAAGTTACGGTTTCTGCTGGACAGGACGCGGACACTTAGAAGATGCCATCACGGCTGGTCTCAGGATCGCCATCCAGGATTTAGGCGCCGAGGCCCCGTTCCACGTGCAGTTCCACCAGGATCCCCTGGAGGCGGCTGCATCAGGGCCTCCTCCGAGCCTTGGCTTGAGAGATAATGTGATCCGGACGATTATTCGTCTGATTCATGTTTATGTTCTTATTCTGAGATTTGTTTTGGTTCTCTTGAGGGCTCTGCCGGGGGCGGCTGGGAAGGCGAAGACGAGGTTTAGACCGGTGTGCAATGCTGCCACTAGTGGTAAGAAGAAGAGGTCTTGATGATGTTTTTATTCTTATTCTTCAGTTTCTTTTTTAGAGGGAAGATCCTTGGGACGTTATATGAATATACTAGACAAGAAATATTACGAGCTTGTTTCTGGAGGTTGAAAATAGAAACCCTAATACTAGTAGTTGACATTAACGTAAAATAGCTCATTCATAACAGAAAAAGCAATGGCTCTTCCCGGTTTAGTTAGGAAAATATAATAAAACCTGCAGACATGGTATACATATTGCTTTCTTGTATGTGTTTTGTTTCTTTCGGTTGTTTTCTCTTCACACCCCGTCTTGCCTGTTCTCCAAAAATCCAGCCAAGTGGTGAGCCACGTTCCCCTTATTTGAGATACTTCTCACTATCCTGGTTCACGATCGTGGCGCTCCTCCGCGCATCAAGGAACAGGTCTTCGCACTCTGCCACGTCGGCTTCCTCGATACCGCCTGGGCGTCCATTTACCTTGGCGAGGATGCTAGCCGGGGTAAGTAATTGCAGGGCATACCGCAAGCTGACCTTGCTGCCATGCTCGGAGACCTTGTCCAGGGCGGGGTCGGTGATGCTGAGGCCTTCCGTCTTGGCGCGCAGGCGAATGATGGTCTTGATCTCATCGGGAGAGTAAGGGTGGGTGGGGATGATGAGGAGACGGGCGAGAAGGTCGGGAGGGATGCCGTGGGCGGCGGAGATGTCGTCGGTGCCGCGGATGACGGTGTTTCCGCGGTTAGAGGCAAGAATGACAATGGGGGAGATAGAAGACTCGAGGGCACGGTTGAGGTATGTGAAGCATTCAATGTCGAGCATGTGAACCTAGAGGTGGGGATTAGCAACTGATTGCAAGGTAAGGCAGGGAAGGGCTAGGACGATCTACCTCGTCGATGAAGAGGACACCGGGAACGAGCTCCGCAACGCCCTGGTCGATGTAGCGGTTGACGACCTTGTTAATCTCCTGGCGTAACTTCTCCGTAATCTCGGTCTTCTTGGGCTTCATGAGCTGTCCCATCATGCTCATCACATCCTGTCCACCCTGGGGCCGCGCATTGGCCATGTCCAGATCGTGCAGTGTCACATCCTGGACGATTTCCTTCTTCTTGTGGACCTCTCCCTTCGGTACGGGCACGTACTCCTCAGCTTCAAGATCGAACTCAGTGGCGTAGGCGTCGGACCGTCCGACACGCTTGCAGGCTCCAGTATTCGCTTCGATGTAAATGACGTCTCCCACGGTGACACGCTCCTTTTGGATGGCTTCGTAGATGCTGGGGTCCAGGCGCAGCTTCTTGGTACCCTTGGCGGATTTCAGACCGATGATGAGATGGCTGATCGTGCGTCCGTATCCTCCCAGAGGGTTCTCCGTCTCTTCGGGGGTGAGTTCCGTCACTTCACCTTCGTATACTTCCTTCGTTTCGCGAACACGGAGACCTATCGAGGCATTAGAGTCTATTGGGTCTTTCGTGTCAGAATGGCCCAGATCGCGTACCGATTGCCCTCCGGAAGTTCTCCATGAGCGCCTCTGTTTTCTTGACCTCAGCAGAGTAAATCTCACTACCAACGATCGGACAGAACGGGACTTTGGTTCCCAGCTCCTGCGACACGGCGAGGGCCAGGGCAGTCTTTCCAGTTCCGGGTCCACCAGCCAGAAGGACAGCCCGACCGGCCATCTTCTTCGCCTTGATCAAGTCAACAACGACACCGCATGCCTGTTATGTCAATCCTTCGGGTTAGTACAAGGCTCATGGGCTTGGACACCGAGGGTTTTGGGCGGCAATGTTGTCGCGTACCTCACGGGCAGTTGCCTGTCCAACAAAACCGTCTCCTGAAGCCTCCGCGGTGCCATCTTGTCGTAGACCAAGACCCTTGATATGCGTGTGGGCTGCGGTTCTGTTCTCGCGCGAGTTGCCCTTCACTTCACTGATTTGGACCATGGTGAAGGGATTGCGACCTCACTCGGAAGCCACAGATATGCGATCGTGGTGGGGTAGAAAGTTTCGGTAAGGCGTAAAAGGCACACGAGAAGTAAGAAGAGCTGGCAGGATCAGAGAAAGCTGGAGATGATGAAAGGGAAGATGAGTCTGGATGCAGCTGCTTCTGGCCGAAATTCAAGCGCAGCTGGGGAGGATCGATCAATGATAGCCGGCCGTGGCCAAGGCGGTCAGCCGCGACCCCCAAATTCTTTCACCATCCGGTGCTGGACGGTCCACGCCTATCTCCAACTATCTCGTCCGCTGTTGCTGTGCTCTGCCGGCACCTGTTCTTCTTCTTTTCGGCCAATTCCCTGTCATGGTCGACTGCCTCTCGACCTTTTGATCTACACAATGGCGGGTTTACAGACTCGTTCGACCATGTCCCTTCCGTTCTCCCTCTCTGCGGCTTTTCGCAACCTTTCCCTCACGACCTCCAAACGTTCCTTCTCCACGACATTGGCGGCACAGAAGACGAAACAATTGCCGGATTACATCCCTCCTTACCCCTACGGCCCGAACTATGTCTTCAAGCAATCCAACTCCGGTCTCTACGGAGGCGCGATGATCCAATTCGGAAACAAGATCTCACAAGGCCGCAACGAGGGCAAGACCCGCCGATTCTGGAAGCCCAACGTTCGTCGGAAGAAGCTCTACAGCGAAGCACTCGAAAAGGATCTCTTCATCAAGGTCACGCGCAAGGCGCTGCGCACGATCCGGAAGGCCGGTGGTCTCGACAACTACCTTCTGAGCGACCGCCCGGGCCGCATCAGGGAGATGGGTATCTTTGGATGGGAGTTGCGGTGGCAGATTATGCAGACACCGAAGATTCAAGAGAGATTCCGGGAGGAGCGGAAAAAGCTTGGTATGCCCGAACCGCCTACGTTCGAGGAGTGGGTGAAGCAGAAGGAGGACGAGATCAAGGCGCAGGTGGAGGCGGAGACGAATATCAAGGAGATCACGAAGCCAACGTACAACGAGAAACAATACTAGAGACCTACAGGGCAAGTCTCTAGTGAAGTCGATTTGGGACGGTCAATCTCGATTGATTATCTGGTGACCAACGGATGGGCGTCTGTTGTATTATTATTTCTTTGGTCATGGTCGACAGCGTCTGCATACCGCTTTCATACTATATCTCGGATGGTGAAAAAGACGACTGTACAGCTGCTATTTAGATCTTGCATGGACTGCTTGGATTTGCGTGATTCGCTCTTCAGTGTATTTATATGTTACCAATGCGATTTGGATTTAATTGACCTTGTGTGTGCACATGGCGTTGAAGGGACTATTGCAGACATACTACTTGCAGATTAGCCCTCGACGTGGTAAAGTTACATGGACCAATAACCGTCTTTATATATACACTGATCTAACACCGCGTCAGAAGGCTACCAGTGGCCCTGGAAGCTACTTTGTAGTTTGGGATGCAATACATCAGCAGGAACATGTGCGGGATCTCATATGCCCAGATGGGAAGACACCGTATCTATACATAGACATTAAACAACCACAACCTTACTTCATAATGAGCCAACCATTAATAATCATCATCGCTGGCCTTGGAATGTCTCAAGTAATAGCCAATCTGCAAGGTCATCGGCTTTGTCCCTGGAATGCTGCGATCTTTCGGACCAACAAAGATCCGCGGGCGCATTTCCGGATCCGGCAGAGGAGCCCGTGAAGCCGGATCAGTTACAAGCAATTGATGCTGCCTCCGCTCCAAGCTCATACTACGTGCTAGAATGTCCTGATCTATCGGAGCTGCAATTGACTATCTTTACATCCTTCACAGTCGCCCAGCATCTACTCGCTGGGGACAAATACACCCATCATGCAGTTCGCCCTGCCTCCGCGGAGGACTCCGATAACCCCTCCGTACGCTCGCTCGTCGCGAATCTCACTCCAGCGCAGGAAACAGCTCAAAGCAGTCGCCATCCTGGGCTTTTCCCTGCTCACCGTCTTCTTCCTTCTCTCTCAGTTCTTCTACACAAGTACAGGGGCTCCCGCTGTACCAGCAGGGACATCCAGCATCGTCGTCGTCACCGTTCTAGACCGGACGGCTTGGAGTAACGAGTACATTCAGAAGATCGTCAAGAACAGAGAGGACTATGCTAAGCGACATGGTAAGGCGACAATAACCCCAGTCACTTCCCTCGTGTTGAGTAACTTCCCATGTCTTACAATTGCAATCCAGGCTATACGAACTTCTTCGCCAACGTGTCCGACTATGAAACTGTCCTCGATAACGCCCCGAAGTCCTGGGCCGTCCTCCCAGCCCTCCGTCACGCGATGGCCTCAAACCCCTACTCGAAGTACTTCTTCCACCTAGACGCTCATGCCCTAATAATGAACCCGAGCAAATCACTTGAATCGCACGTCCTCGACAACGACCGTCTCGAATCCCTCATGCTCAAGGACGTCTCCGTCGTACCTCCCGATAGCATCATCAAGACATTCTCGCATCTACAGCCCCAAGATGTCGATCTCATTATGACCACCGATGCGGAGGATTTGAGCTCCGGTAGCTTCCTCCTTCGACAGGGCGACTTTGCCAAATACTTCCTCGACTTCTGGTTCGACCCTCTGTACATTAGCTATAACTTTGCGAAGGCCGAGACCCACGTTCTGGTAAGTGAGGAGATGGATTACGTTTCTTCTGTCTTTAAGTTTTTCATTATGCATCGTACACCTCTAGTATGATGCTCGCTTTATCAAATTCTGTTCCTTTCTTGTTTTTTGCTTGTTTAATTGCTTTTTTACCCGTGCCACCAGACCAAGTAACTAACCCACGTCATCAGGATCACATTGTGCAATGGCACCCGACCATCTTGGCTAGACTGGCTCTGGTTCCACAGCGGACCATCAATTCCTACAGCAAGGATTCAAACGGAGCTTCCGTGGACGGTGTCTATAAGGATGGTGACTTCGTCATTCGATTCCTTGGCTGTGACACCGACACGAAGCGGAGTTGCGAGAAGGAAATGGAGCCGTATTATCGGCTTTGGGCAGGGAAGATGAAGAACGAGTAACCTCGTTCTTTCTTTCTTTCTTTCTCTCTTCTGTCTTCTTATATTCGCTTTTCAATTGTAATGTCCACCTTTGCTTTTGGGGGAGTTTGGGTATGATTTTGATTTTCCATTGGTGTTGGGAGTTTTGTTTGAACGAATTGTCTTCGGACCTCTGGTGCTGTGATATTAATCCCATAGAGAAGCGAGCGCATTCACTCCGATGCTACATGAGTTACCTAGTACTACTCCATACCTCGCAATCCAATAGCATTATTGCTTCAAATTAAAAATGATTATTATTCGTCCACGTCAATAACTAGAACCCTCCGCATAACTCTCGTAAAATAACTAATAACCGGACTATAATCTATCGTAATAGGTTACACATCGAAGGACAAAACTGTCATGCAGAGAACAAACTCCGCCGTAATCTTCTCGGATGTCGAGAACCATTCATCTCTCACCACACCTTAACCCCGAACGCAGTCGAGGTACATGCAAGGTCCCGGGTAAACCTTGGCCAATGCCAAGACAAATGTATGCGAGGTTGACAACCTCGCACGTTACGCATAGTACTTTCCCCCAAAGCAGCATGCTCTCGCCTAGTACAGACCAGGCAGGATAACATAGCGCTTGCGCTTGTACTTGTCACCGAACTCCTTGCGGTAGCGGCGCTCCTTCTTCTTGGCCCAGAGAGCCATCTGAACGGTACCGACGACAATGAAGAACAGGACACTCCAGCTCATTCCGCTCAGCAGGTAGACGCCCACCCAGCTGACAACCTCAAAGAAGTAGTTGGGGCAGGTGACGACGTTGAAGCCAAATCCGGAGGGAATGCCTCTCTCCGTGGTACCGGGACGGCGCAGGTCGCGTAGCACAAGGTGAGCGTTTAGGTTCGCAAGCTCGCCGAAAATGAACAATGCCAGGCCGCTGTAGAGGAGGAAAGAGTCCTGGATGGTGGCGGCGGGGGAATCGGGACGGAAGACCCAGTAGGCGATGTTCAGGCCGGCTAGGACCCAGTAGTGGCCGCTGTTCTTGACGATGTTGCGCGCGGGCATGGTGGCATTGCTGAAACGGTGGACGAAGACGGTTTCGTATTCGCGCTTGATGAAGTGGATGGTCAGGAGGGCGCAGACCAGGAGCTGGAACTGCGATGGCTCGGGAAGTGGCTTGTCGAAGTTAAAGTAGACATATGGACGGAGGGGGAAGAGGAAGAGAGCCGGAATGAAGAGCGGTCCCAGGTATTCGATAATGTAGACGGTGCGCCATCCAAGTTGGGGGCCTGAAGATTAGGGAGTGTGTTAGTGAGTGAGGTGGGGATATGGCGGTGGTGGTGTAGATGGTGTAGACGGGGAAGGGTTTGGTGTCAGCTTATCTACTAACCAAGATCCTTGACGTGCAAGACGCTCTTTTCCTTGAGACCGACTCCGTCGACAGTTGAGTCCTTGGAGTTGGGGACTACAGTGCGATCGCTACCCTTGGTGATCCGAAGACGGTGGATGGAGAAGCCCGAGGCTTCCGCGAGCTTGTTGTAGATTTCGGCGGTTGAGGCATTGGAGGACACCTGAACCTGCTTGGGGAGCTTCTTGATGGGTTTGCCTAGAGGATGGAGAGCCAATGTCAGTTCGCTTCTGACATATTAATTGACCTTGACTGCTGATGGCCAGAAAACTTACCCCGGGGCTCAACAACTAGAGTCAGGGACGCCATTGGGATTAGGCTGAAGACACGCAAGCTCGTAATGACCCGGCAGGCACAGAGGATATTATCTGAGGATTATGCCACGTGAGCTGAGGTAAGAGCACAGTGCCAGGGTTCGTATACGAGGAAGATAGTAGTGATGGCGCAGGTATACCCGGTTATCGGAAGCGACAGACTTGTTGAGAAGTTGCTCAGCAAAATGCGGCTAGTCAAGAGGCCATTGCGGACTAGTGAGCTGCTTAGTGTATCCAGACTAATAATACACCACTAAGACCCCAGGCATTCCTTCCTCGGCCCGCGAAGCATCACGTGGGACGATCTGCCGGGGTCCAAACTTTTGGTTGCTGAACTACTACTACTCTCGGTACTCTTGCAAAATAAGGGTATGCTTTTGTTTCCCGGAAGGATTGTTAACTACTACTCCATACGAGACTAGTGCTATCTGCGTACTTCATGGTTAGGGACAAACAATTCCAATCCGGTACTTCTTCCGTCACAGTCACGCTGACAGAGAGTCCTCAAAGGCCCTTCCCTGTTCTTACATATCTTACTAAGTATATTGGTTTGGTTTTTATCGCTTTTCCCATTCTTCCTTTGTGCTTATTATCTTTTCCCTTCCCGCTACAATGTGCTATCTTCTTACTGCATCTCACATGTCTTGTTGTTACAGAGCATTTGACATATCAGTAATCCAAGAATTATGCCATTCGCCGATTGAGTGGATCCACCGCATTATGCTAAATTTCTTTTGTTTTCTCTTGGTTGCGTGTTGTTAGTGCTACTTACACAGTAGTATGCACTTACATGTCGGAACAATCTCGACTTGAGGCCCTTGCAATCAATGAAGTATTGTCAGTAATGAGAATAGAAAAGACGGAGATGGCGTAATTGGAGACAAGAAATTAATCAAGACTGATAATTATGAACGCCATTGTGTATCAGCAAGTCAGCCAAACATATGCGCCCGCTACGATTGTCCTGATTGTCAAGGTCACTTACCGGGGCTGGCTAGACCTGATAGAGTAGTGTTCAGCTTCATCCGACAGTGTGTAAATAGTGGCGCCTTAGTCCCAGTCAGTCAGCCAGCCAGCCTTTCCTCACTTTTTGCCCCCGCTCATTTAGTACCTCCGTCTTTAGCTCGGTGCTAGCGGCATACCTTCATCTACTACTTACCCCGTACCAAGCAGCAGCCCAGCCCACACTCACTTGACAGCAACTCACTTACCACTCACCACATCCCAAGCCAGACAGACTATCCATGCAGTTCGTGCTGGCCACTAGATACTATTACCCACTGACATCGGTGGGAATGAAAGGGAGGTGCTCTGATAGGATCTCTCTATACTCTAAGATCCCTTCCCCCCTCCGATCCCCGAATTGACCGTATTGTCAACCATTACCCGATGAAGTACAAGTAACCCCGACCAGGTGTCAAAGGGCACCTCGCAAACTTTGGATCGAGCACAGGTCCCCGAGAGAACGCGATGGAATAGGAGGGTGGGGAATAATAATACAGTGCGCTGGATTTGCAAGATCTTCTGGCAATTCTTTTTCAGCTCTTCCCACCCGCCTTCGCTAACTTGAAGCTCCAGCCGCAGATCGACCGGGTTTTTGCCCGGCTGAAATTGTGAGTCCCCGCCAGTCTGGTTTGTCGGGGTCTGCCACTGCCAGGGCCACCCGTCCAATGCCTCACGATACGGTCCATCCATGACTATCCCTCGTATCTTCTTCGGCTGCGCACGCCATACTTCTTGTCTAGAGTGTGGATAAGGCCACCCATCGAGAGTTTGGTGCTAAGGCACGTTCGATCATAGTCCGCATCCACCTGTTAGCCTTGCATACGGTGTGAACTGCGCCCAGGTCATGTCTCATGCACGCGAATCAGAAGTCTCTCAGGCTCGCCTGTCACGTCCAATGGGGTATTTCTCGTTACGGACAGGACGCCCAGTGTCTGCTATCGCTCCGTGGACATTTTAGTAGTATTAATCATTCGCTTCGGGGTTGCCGACTCGGCTGTTCCTCTCTTCGGCCGCTGCTATGACGCTGACAAGTCCCTATAAAGACCGTTTCTCTGGATATCTTTCCTTGCTTAATCTCCCCCAACTTTCTCATGCGCATTCTCGCATTGAGCCCCCTGCTTCATAGTATATACCTCGACTCCCATCACCACGGGGATTTTTTCTTGTCTATATCGATACCCTTCTTGTTTACCTAACTAAGTTCTTTCCCCGCAACTCTACGTCCACGCCGTTCGCATTCCTTGGTAGCCGGCGCGGTTCCAGAACGTCTAGACTCCCAAGGTGAGCAACCTTTCTATGACTTCATGAGGTGGGTCTTGTTTGGGACAATCCATAGTCCTAGAATCATGAGATGGAGATCTATCGACCCCTCTTATTTCTTATTTGTAGAGTCGAGGTTAAGCATAATTGGAGCATCATGCTGATCTTGGCTTTTCGCGTATGCAGCGGCATTGTACCTCTTGGACAACGACTTGTATAATATTAGCCCTATACGCAATGTCTGGCTCAAATAATCATTCCATTGTCAACGGCATAGGGAGCACAATTTCCCAGGTTGAAAAGGCTATTTCGGCATCCTTGCGGCCTCTACCTACGGCGACTGGAAACGGGACCTATGTCACTGAGCCTGCTCAGACGGGAATTGTCAAGGACCTCAGCCATGTCGACCTTACTGATATCAAGACCCTGCTTGAGGTCGTTAAGGATGCTGTAACAGGTCAGCCAGTCGATGATAGACATTATATCATGGAGCGAGTCATTCAGGTAAGTGCTTACTCTTGCCTTTTGAGCCAGTTGAGTCCGTCTGACCGAGTCCAGCTTGCTGCCGGGCTCCCTTCGACTTCTAAGAGTGGGAAGGACTTGACGAACACCTTCCTCAAGCAGCTCTGGAATGACCTGGAACATCCTCCGATTTCGTAAGTTTATTGTGACAATGACATTCTATATGACACTAACTGAGGAATGTAGATACCTAGGCCGGGATTCTTCTTACCGCAAGGCCGATGGATCAGGAAATGTATAGTGCGCCCGGAACCCTTCTGGAAGGTGTTTTGTTAACTCTCCATTGACAGAACTTCCTCTGGCCTCATATTGGAGCAGCTGGTAGCCACTACGCCAGGTCTGTACGGCCAACAACCGTTCAGTCGCCTTCGCTGCCGGATCCGAGCACGCTTTTCGCGTCCCTCCTGGAAAGAAAGGAATACAAGGAGCATCCGAACAAGATATCCAGTGTCTTGTTCTACCTCGCTTCCGTCATTATTCACGGTATGCATTGCTTGAATCATCCTTGGTTTTACAAGATCTCCCAACTGACATGCTCAAAGATCTGTTCCAAACGGATCGCAATGATTATACTCTGAACAAGACCTCCTCGTATCTGGATCTTTCACCTCTCTATGGCAACAATCAAGACGAGCAGAACCTCGTCAGGACTTTCAAGGATGGAAAACTCAAGCCGGACTGCTTTTCCAGCAAACGAGTTCTCGGTTTCCCTCCTGGCGTCGGCGTGCTTCTGCTGATGTTCAACCGCTTCCACAACTATGTTGTCGAGAATTTGGCGACTATCAATGAAGGCGGCCGGTTTACCAAGCCAGATGAGTCTGATGTCGACGCCAGCACGAGATACGACAACGATCTCTTCCAGACTGGTCGGTTGGTCACGTGTGGTCTATACATAAACATCATCCTCAAGGACTACGTTCGGACCATATTGAATATCAATCGAACAGACAGTCTGTGGAGCTTAGATCCTCGAGCTGATATCCAGGATAGCTTGCTAGGAAGCGCCCCAGCGGAAGCCACGGGCAACCAGGTGTCTGCTGAATTCAATCTCGTCTACCGCTGGCATGCTTGCATTTCTCAGCGTGACGAGAAATGGACACAGGAACTGTATAAAGATTTGTTCCCAGGAAAGGATCCCAACAACGTTTCTTTACCTGAATTTCTTAGGGGCGTGGCCAAGTGGGAAGCAAGCTTACCGGAGCAGCCCCCAGACCGTCCATTTGCTGGATTACAGCGTAATGCAGACGGCGCCTTTGATGATGACGATCTTGCGAACATGTTTGCGGATGGCGTTGAGGATTGTGCCGGTGCCTTTGGTGCCGGTAACATTCCATCAGTCTTCAGAAATATCGAGGCCCTCGGTATTTTGCAGGCGCGTTCTTGGAACTTGGCTACCCTGAACGAATTCCGCAAGTTTTTCGACCTTGCGCCCTACAAGACCTTCGAGGAAATCAATCCTGATCCATACATTGCGGCCCAGCTCAAGAACCTGTATGATGAACCTGACCTGGTGGAGATGTATCCCGGCGTTATCGTCGAGGCTACGAAAGACGCAGTAGTGCCTGGAAGCGGTTTGTGCACAAACTTCACGATATCAAGGGCCATTCTCTCCGATGCAGTTTCCCTTGTCCGTGGCGACCGTTTCTATACGGTGGATTACACGCCAAAGCATCTCACAAACTGGGCCTATAACGAAATACAGCCTCAGGACTCAGTTGACCAAGGGCAGGTCTTTTACAAACTGGTGCTGCGTGCGTTCCCCAATCACTTCAAAGGCGATTCAATTTACGCACACTTTCCTCTGGTCATCCCATCTGAGAACAAGAAGATCCTTGAGAAGCTCTCGGTTGCTCAGGATTACAGCTGGGGCCGACCGAGTTACACGCCTACGCCGCAATTTATCAGCTCTAATGCGGCCTGTATTTCCGTTCTCAACGACCAAGAGGCATTTAAGGTAACTTGGGGAAGCAAGATTGAATTCTTGATGCGCCACAACAATCACCCTTATGGCCGGGACTTCATGCTGTCTGGTGACAAGCCACCCAACGCTGCATCGCGCCGGATGATGGGCTCGGCCCTATACCGCGACAAGTGGGAGAGTGAGGTGAAGCGATTTTATGAGGATATCACCGTAAAACTCCTGCGCCAGCATTCTTACAAGCTGGGCGGAACCAATCAGGTCGATATCGTCCGAGACGTCGCAAATTA